AGACACTGTTATTGTTAACCACGGCGATGGAGTCTGCCGTTTATACCAAAATTCAGAGAAATGTTGCATTGTACATCAGTCAACACTGTTCAACACGCTTCCACCATCGACTTGAGAATGGTCCAAGACGGACCGAAACGTCGTCGACCCTTTACTTTCTAGTGTGTGGTCTGGTCAACACGCTTCCACTACACATAAGGGGCATAACTGGCCGACCCCTCACAGTGTTCAAGAGAGAACTCCATAGACATCTCCAAAGAATACCTTATCAACCAGGCTGTGATTCATACGTCAGGCTGCGAGCAGCCGCGTCTAACAGCCTAGTTGACCAGTCCAGCAACCTGGTCTGGTCGAAGACCGGGCCGCGAGGACGTTGAGCCCCCGAAATCATCGCAAGGTATGTCCGGGTCTCGTTTTAAAGCCTAATTGTGTACTGTTCCAGAGAATTATTAGATGAATGATAAATTCTCAACAGTAAGAATTTACAAGACAAATAAAAATAATGTTTTTTGACAGCCGCGGACGTCACCAATAACCAGGTCAGAGGGAACATCAGCTGGGGATGAGTACACCAAGATGAGTACACCAAGATGAGTACACCAAGATGTGTAGACCAAGAAGTGTAAACAGCGGGACGTGAGGATCTGCGAGGTGTGTCAGGGTTGGGAGGGAAGGAGGGGACGAGGTATACAATAGTGTTTGTAAACTAAAAGTAACATTCTCAGCACCACCTCTGGCTCGTCCGGCATTAACTCCTGGTGAGGGAACAATTTTTTATTGGCAATCTTCACACAACATAATGTTCCGCGCTATACGATAACCCTTCAAGCACGAAGCAGCAGCTTGGGCACGGTGTAGGAGGGTGAGGTCGGTGTTGTCAACACCACCACCAGGTCCACATCATGCCTCCTCTTCACCACGGAATATGAACGCATCAACATTTGTTTACATGAAAAATAGAACAAAGACAATAGAGTGAAATCAGGACGTACAACAGTTGTTTGTTGTTAATGATTATCCAATTGTCGGCAATAGGGAGTCTCTTAGGCTTCTGGAGGGTTATAAGAACAAAGGCAACTGCAGAAGCCCTATTGGCCCATACGAGGCAGCTCCTATTTATAACCACCCAATCCCATATCTTGAGATGATTTCGGGGCTTAGCGTCTTTGCGGCCCGGTCCTCGACCAGGCCTTTTTGTTACACATCCCCCCAGGAAGCAGCCCGTAACAGCTGTCTAACTCCCAGCTACCTATTTACTGAACAGGGTGAAAGAAACTCAACCCAATTGTTTCCGCCTCCACCGGGGAATCGAACCCGGAACCTTAGGACTACGAATCCCGAACGCTGTCCACTCAGCTAGCAGCCCCTCTAGGACTAGACCAGCACTGAACTTTCCCGGGATCCAACCCACAACAGTTACTTCACTCCTGAGTAACTATTAACTGCTTGATGAACAGAGACAGTACGTGTAAGGAGGCGTGCTCCGACGCCTCGCCCGCCTCTGGAATCGAACTAGGGCCAGATTCACGAAGCAGTTACGCAAGCACTTACGAACCTGTCCATCTTTTCTCAATCTTTGGCGGCTTTGTTTACAATTATTAAACTGTTAATGAGCTCCGAAGCACCAGGAGGCTGTTTATAACAATAACAACAGTTGATTGGCAAGTTTTCATGCTTGTAAACTGTTTAACAAATGTAACCAAAGCCGTCAAAGATTGAGGAAAGATGTACACGTTCATAAGTGCTTGCGTAACTGCTTCGTGAATCTGGCCCCTGGTGATTATTCGGTTGCATGTGCACTGTGCTATAAGTGGTCGAATAGCGCTCCCGAATGGACACGAACCATCAACCTTTCGTTTGTTTATATTTTGTATTTTTTGTCCACGGGGGAAGTAGGGCGCTAGTTTATTGGACTGTAACAATGCTATTGGAAATGGTGGTGGTGGTGGTGGTGGGTAGTGAACAATTTTGGTGGCGGGTGGAGTTGTGGTTGAAGGGACGAGGGTTGGAGGAAGGAGATTAAGGACATAAGATAACATGTTGTGAGATGCCAAGAATATATTTATGATATCGTGATTTTTTAATTTATCTCAGTCTGGACAGAAAGCTGCAATTAGAATGATTGAGATGTGTAAAATAAGTTAAATCCTCGCCAATTTGAAGCACTTTTGCAAATTGAATTTTTAAATATTTACCACTGACTTAAACCCCTTAAAGTTAAAGCTTTAAAACTATTAGTGTTAATATGAGAATGTATGGTTTTAATATAAACATATTACAAATTTAAATTGAATATATATAAAACCATTCAATTAAAAAAAATGCATTTATCTCCTAACTTTCTAAGCTATCACGTGTACATAATTATTGGTATGTCTAACATAAATTTGCAAATATATGTTAAGACATACTGTCAACTGTCAGCTGTAATTTGTCAAACAAATCACAGCTGTTGGAGTAAAGCACCAATGGGTCATAATATATGTGACCAGATGTCACATGAAAAACGTGGAAATTTTCGCGTGTGAATATGAATGATTTGGGTGACACCATTAATAGGTCTCTTAAATTAATGTATAATTGCTTGATATAAAGCTCATAACAAGAATCGTCAGTAACTATGTACAGTAGTTCGGTTTTTGGCACCATAGAATGAACAGAGATTCTATAGAAGTCATACAGAGTAGGAAGATAAACTTATATCCTGAAATTGAAGCCTCTCTTACTGGAGATACTGTGCAGTATTTAAAACAAAATAAAAATTTACATTCACTAAAACGGCGAAGAGTAAAGGGGATCATCACTGAAGAATACAAATGGGTGAAATTGGCAGAACAAGCAGGATATTAATAGGATGCTAATGTATCAATACAAAATAAAACACGAAACACTGAATACAAATTGGCTAAGTTTAAACTCAGGAAAGACCTGGATAAAAACTGGTTTGGAAATACGGTTGTCGATTTATGGTAAACTTTGTCAGAATACATAATATACGTAGTGTCACTGGATTGTTTCAAACGTAGGTTAGACAAATATCTTAAGAGATTGCATTTAGCGCAGTGGCCTGTGCAATAGCCTCATGGCCGAATAGCCTCACCTTCCTGGTGTGATTCCCGGGAAGGAAAGACACTTGGGTACATTTCATTACACTAAGTAGTAAAAAGGTACCTTGGAGTTATAGATTGTTGTGGGTTGCATCCTGCAGGTCTGTCGTTGGCCGAGGCCTTAGTAGGACATCAGTAAGTTTTAACAGGCTACCTGTTCTCAGGTACAAAATATTGCCAAAAATGAATTATAATTCACACAACGCAATTTATTACCTGTTAAATCAAAGATTCCTCTACACGTAAAACAGACAGGATGCGTGTAAAATATACTACTGTCGAATAACGTAAACAGTGCATTCGTACAGTTGTCAAACGGTTTGCTTAATTCCACAGAACTGTCGTGGCACATCTACAGTATGATATATATATACGGTGTACTGCAGAAACATAGACGGTGAATCACATATATAGCTGCAGTGTGACATACCTACGGTGTCAATATACTAGTGTGACTTAAGTGAAATATTTATAACAAACAATATCAAACCTTAAGTACTCTGTGAGAAAATCAGTAGGAACCATGAGGAGGATGCAGTTGAATTCCAGGTTGCAATACTCGTTGAGCATGTTTGTATCTTCCTCATGGATCCTGATTTTCTCATTGATACATCACGTTATTGTGATTTCTTTGTGCTTTAAGTACTCTGTCACGTGGTCCACTGCATAATCTAACTATCTAACCATTTCTCTTATAAATATGTATATATTTATAAGTATATATATATATATATATATATATATATATATATATATATATATATATATATATATATATATATATATATATATATATGTGTGTGTGTGTGTATTTATATGTATATATATATATAATATATAATAACATATATATAAATATATATTATTATATATAAATATATTTAATATATATACAATATATATGTAACATAACATATATGTAACATATATTTCTGGCAGAGGCTTTGTTAGCTAACGTCTTATTTATACTGCAATAAACAATTCTCTAACTAGGCAACTTAAATAACGTTTCCAAATAAACTATTTAGATGAATTTCACAAACATATGTTCCGGTGTGAACATATATAGAGGTCCCCAAGAAGAGATGATTGGTGCATTGTAACTAGCACAGGAACACTGGCGACTGGAGTGCCAGCTTCCCCAGACACTCACCTTCCGCCCCCATATAACACTGACTTATAATCTTGAAGAAAGATGCGGACACCATATTGCCCGCCTGACCCGCCTTGGCGCCAAGATAGACCTGGCGACTACTGGGACGCAAGCATGGCTTTGCGCATGTCTCACACACACACACACACACACCCCTCTACCAAATAAATCAATGAAAACTTTCCGTGCAAGTATACAAAATGCAGTCCTGAAGTATTCTGTATCGCGCTTTGTTTATTAATATCCTAACGTAAGTTTAAGAAGGAATCTATTAATTCGAACCAGTGAGGTCCCGATGAGTATTGATTGGGACGGCTGACGGGTGGGCGGATGCGCACCGCCGGTATATTCCTGCACGTTTTCCGGGAAAACGTTGTCGTAGTTCATTATCACGACGTTAGAAATTGCATCATTACTCACCCACCCGCTCACTTCTCTCTAGCGGTTAAGCTTACCCGGTCATTCATTCAACAATAGATGGAAGGATAAGTAAATAATAGCATGAGGGAGAGAGCTACTAAAGACGTGTCCACATGCACGGGCGCCTTCCTCTGCCTCCTACGTGTTACACAAGCCTCACGGCCACATGCATTTCATGCTATTACATTCGTCCCTTCAAAACAGTTTTCATTGCTGTGTGTTTACCTAAACTACATAAAAAATACTATGGAAGTGGAGAACATTACGCCATGATAGATGTGAAAATGTAAACATACAAGACAAATATCAATGTGCTTTACCTCCCGCCTTTTCTTCGTCTCCCGCCATATCCATCTTCTTCTTGCTTTCATTTTTGATCAGTCTTTGTTTACCATCGTCAGGCTCATTTTTACCTTGGTCTTCTGCGTCTTCCAGTCGCGCATCTTCAGTTTTCTTACCACTGACTGTTTTATCTACTTCATTTTCAGTTTTAACATTGTTATCTACCTTGCCTGATGATTTAACATTGTTGTCTATCTTCTCTGTTAATTTAACATCCATTACCTCGTCTTTATTGTCTGTTAATTTGGTTTCTGCTTTCTGAGGGGCACTAGGTTTGTCAGTGACTGATGGTGTTTTTGATTCGTTAACAGTTATAACTGTTAATTTGGTCCCTGAAACGTCTGTTGCTTTGGCATCGGTTATAGTCCCGGCTGCCTTGGCTTCTGATCTAGGCGCACTTACATCTGGGTGATCCTTAGAACCAATACTAGTCTTATCAGCCTTCTTGTCAACAGAAATGTCCTTAGTTGTGTCGTGTGATGATGTGTCTAGTTTATCTGTGTCCGCAGGTATCGTCTTGGCGGAAGCCGCGTCGTTGCTAGGCTTATTTGTCGTGTCCCCTGTTTTGTTTGTCGCGTCATTCGTTTTGTTTGTCAAATCTCCTGTTTTGTCTGTTGTACTCCCTGTTTTACTTGTCTCGCTATTTGTTTTATTTATAGCGTCTCCTATTTTGGTAGCTGTGTCCCCTGTTTTGTTTGACCCGTTCACTGATTTATTGGTATCACCCATATTTCCTGCTGCAGTTCCCGGCTTGTCTTCATCCTCTGGTAGCGTGTAAAAGATAATTTAATCTAGTATAGTATCCAATGTAGAATTTGATTACTGCCAATTTAAAATTATATTTTCATCGTATTTGCCGGAGCAATTTACGATTCGCATACATCAATACACATACACACAATTGGAGATTCCTATATTAAAACAACAAATAATTTAAACCTGGACATACGTGGAGCACTGTGAGCTTAGAAGTGCCAGAGATTAGGTTAGCCCCTATAACAACGGGCTTACTTTTATCTAGAAAAACTCGAAATGTATAATGAAAGTTATTTAATAAAGATATATAATTGCTGTTAGTAATGCGTCCAATAACAAGGTCAGTAAATACAAATAAACTTTATAACCTGTTATTTGTTATGGTTTCTGTGCACGCTTGTATATTGGTTAGAATGTCAACACTTAAATATTAAGGTATTTTTTCGAAAGTTTTTATTACACTGACTCCTTCGTTGCACTTTTGATCCCATTTACAGATGTAAAACTCAAAAAAAAATCTTGGCGAAGTATCCAAAAGTTGCCTATTTATCAGTAGTACAAGCACTTGATTTTAATTTTTCCATCGCCGCCCCTCATTAGAATCCCTGTAGCCGAGTACTTGAACACATCATGGATATGGGGAGTAAATAATCTAAACAAACTTTGGCTCGTTGTCAGAGCCACTTCGGATCATGATGTTAGTGTGATCAAATGTGAAAAAACTTACTTCTGTATTTATTTATTTATTTATTTATTTATTTATTTATTTATTTATTTATACAAGAGTTCTTACACTCGTAAAGCCACTGGCAATTATAGCGTTTCGGGCAAGTCCTTAATCGCAATTTCCCTGGAATACGACGTTTAAACGACGAAATCGTTTAACAACCAGGTATCCATTCACTGCTGGTGGAACAGAGGCTACAGTCAAGGACTGGCACCCGGTCAATCCTCCCCGGCCAGGATACGAATCCAGGCCAAAGTGGTGGCGAGGCGCCGGGCGTGTCTTACCATTACGCCCTGGGGTCTGCGTATGTATTAACATACTCAGTAACTGGCACAAAAATCAATGCTGTAACTTGTTTAGTTAAACGAATTTGGGGGTTCAGTTCCTGGGCCCAGGTGTGTCTTCCACTACCACTCGGAATAATATGTAATTAACTAAACTCAAATTTATGATGGAGACTATTTACATTGTGTATAATTTCTGATTTATATATTGAAAATGTTTACATTTTGCGGCAAATGCTCCGGTAATACTGTAGGTGTATCTTCGCTTTGCATGCATTAATCCAGGATGTTCCAGCATGCTGCTGGATCTGTTTAAATAATAAGCTGCTCTCGCCGCGTCCTCACGGGATAAATACTATAACTACGCTTAGAAAACACTAAATAGGCTTCTGGCAGCAACAGCGGTCAAAAGGAATCGAGAAGCAGGAGTCTTACCTGTACACTTCTTCTTGTCTCCGTCCTCCATGGTTCCTGAGAGTGGATTCGTACGTGTTGTCTCTGTAGCGTCACGCGCTCAACTGACTGGTGTGTGGCGGGTGTAGCCGCCGCGATGGTCGCTCTGCGCACCCCTCATCTCCCCTCCATTTACATCACACCGCCCCCCATCCCCGCCCCCGCTCTCCCTCCGGGTCGTCCATGTACGCCAAGGTCACCCGTATGTTGCGTGGTACTTGTGCAATATCGATCTTAAACTCCAGTTGTGACCTGAGAAGTGATGGTTGAAGTTGTTAGAGTAGGTGGGCGGGGAGGGGGGAGAAGCAAGATGAGTGAGGGAAGTGACGCGTCAAAAGTGAGGGGAGCCAGAGGACGCTTGAAGGTGACTCAACTGCCCTCGCATGGCCGGGTGGGGGACGCAGGTCCCCTCCCCCAACTAATACAGAGGGGCCACGCCCCCTCCCCACCTTCGCAATTCACTGGAACCCTTTACACGTGGCCCCCCCCCCCCCCCCTTCCACCTCCCTCCGTTGTGTGACCTCTCCTGATATACACATAGGAAAGGATGGGCAATATCTTCCAGTATTGTCAGACGGACTTGATACAGGTTCACAACAGAGACTGCTAATCAAACATAAGAGTCAAGCAGGGTAACGAGGACGGTGCTAAATCAAATTAACGAGGACATCTCTGTCAGGAATCAGAAGATTACGATCAGCAGAGAGGCCTAGACTTAAACTTAAAGGACTTAAATGAGAAAGTTTGTATATTCCTGTTGATATTTGCGGATGAAGCACAATTGATGAAGAGAATCATGACACGAGGATTGTAAACAGATGTAAAGTGAACTAGATAAGCTTCAGGAATGGCTGGATAAATGGCAATTCGTCTTCAGCCCAGGTATGTGTAAGATAATGAGACTTGGGGATGGAGCAAGAAAACTCATTAAGCAATACACAGTAAAAGGAATACAGCTTCCTGAAACCGCAAAAGAGAAGATGGAAATTTAGATAACCCATAGTTAAGCACTGGAGGTCCACATGACCCTAGCCTAACACTGGAGATACACATAACCCTAGCCTAGCACTGGAGGTCCACATGACCCAAGCCTAACACTGGAGGTCCACATGACCCTAGCCAAACACCGGAGGTCCACATGACCCTAGCCTAACACTGGAGGTCCACATGACCCTAGCCTAACACTGGAGGTCCACATGACACTAGCCTAACACTGGAGGTCCACATGACCCTAGCCTAACACTGGAGGTCCACATGACCCTAGCCTAACACTGGAGGTCCACATGACCCTAGCCTAACACTGGAGGTCCACATGACCCTAGCCTAACACTGGAGGTCCACATGACCCTAGCCTAGCACTGGAGGTCCACATGACCCTAGCCTAGCACTGGAGGTCCACATGACCCTAGCCTAACACTGGAGATCCACATGACCCTAGCCTAACACTGGAGATCCACATGACCCTAGCCTAACACTGGAGATCCACATGACCCTAGCCTAACACTGGAGATCCACATGACCTTAGCCTAACACTGGAGATCCACATGACCCTAGCCTAACACTGGAGGTCCACATGACCCTAGCCTAACACTGGAGGTCCACATGACCCTAGCCTAGCACTGGAGGTCCACATGACCCTAGCCTAGCACTGGAGGTCCACATGACCCTAGCCTAACACTGGAGATCCACATGACCCTAGCCTAACACTGGAGATCCACATGACCCTAGCCTAACACTGGAGATCCACATGACCCTAGCCTAACACTGGAGATCCACATGACCCTAGCCTAACACTGGAGGTCCACATGACCCTAGCCTAACACTGGAGGTCCACATGACCCTAGCCTAGCACTGGAGGTCCACATGACCCTAGCCTAGCACTGGAGGTCCACATGACCCTAGCCTAACACTGGAGATCCACATGACCCTAGCCTAACACTGGAGATCCACATGACCCTAGCCTAACACTGGAGATCCACATGACCCTAGCCTAACACTGGAGATCCACATGACCCTAGCCTAACACTGGAGGTCCACATGACCCTAGCCTAACACTGGAGGTCCACATGACCCTAGCCTAGCACTGGAGGTCCACATGACCCTAGCCTAGCACTGGAGGTCCACATGACCCTAGCCTAACACTGGAGATCCACATGACCCTAGCCTAACACTGGAGATCCACATGACCCTAGCCTAACACTGGAGATCCACATGACCCTAGCCTAACACTGGAGATCCACATGACCCTAGCCTAACACTGGAGGTCCACATGACCCTAGCCTAACACTGGAGGTCCACATGACCCTAGCCTAGCACTGGAGGTCCACATGACCCTAGCCTAGCACTGGAGGTCCACATGACCCTAGCCTAACACTGGAGATCCACATGACCCTAGCCTAACACTGGAGATCCACATGACCCTAGCCTAACACTGGAGGTCCACATGACCCTAGCCTAACACTGGAGATCCACATGACCCTAGCCTAACACTGGAGATCCACATGACCCTAGCCTAACACTGGAGATCCACATGACCCTAGCCTAACACTGGAGATCCACATGACCCTAGCCTAACACTGGAGATCCACATGACCCTAGCCTAACACTGGAGGTCCACATGACCCTAGCCTAACACTGGAGATCCACATGACCCTAGCCTAGCACTGGAGGTCCACATAACCCTAGCCTAACACTGGAGATCCACATGACCCTAGCCTAACACTGGAGATCCACATGACCCTAGCCTAACACTGGAGATTCACATGACCCTAGCCTAACACTGGAGATCCACATGACCCTAGCCTAACACTGGAGATCCACATGACCCTAGCCTAACACTGGAGATCCACATGACCCTAGCCTAACACTGGAGATCCACATGACCCTAGCCTAACACTGGAGATCCACATGACCCTAGCCTAACACTGGAGATCCACATGACCCTAGCCTAACACTGGAGATCCACATGACCCTAGCCTAACACTGGAGGTCCACATGACCCTAGCCTAACACTGGAGATCCACATGACTCTAGCCTAACACTGGAGATCCACATGACCCTAGCCTAACACTGGAGATCCACATGACCCTAGCCTAACACTGGAGATCCACATGACCCTAGCCTAACACTGGAGGTCCACATGACCCTAGCCTAAGCCTAACACTGGAGATCCACATGACCCTCTAACACATATGACCCTAGCCTAACACTGGAGATCCACATGACCCTAGCCTAACACTGGAGGTCCACATGACCCTAGCCTAACACTGGAGGTCCACATAACCCTAGCCTAGCACTGGAGATCCACATGACCCTAGCCTAACACTGGAGGTCCACATAACCCTAGCCTAGCACTGGAGATCCACATGACCCTAGCCTAACACTGGAGGTCCACATAACCCTAGCCTAACACTGGAGGCACCGGTAGTACAGTCGAGTTTCTTCTCGACTCACAATAGAGAGTTCCGGGCTCGAATCCCGGGCGGGACAGAAATGGTTGGGCGCATTTCCTATCACCTAATGCACTTGTTCACCATTGACCTTCGGGGAACCTCGATATAAGACTAACATGTATATATATATGCACTGGCTGCCTGTCCCTCGACACAATATATTAAAGGGTAACGTCATGATAGACAACACCACGCCAGCGAGGAACAACTATATGGTACCGCCTACCCGCTGAAGCTTACTTGCCAAGATTAAAAATCCGTTTCGATTTTTGCAATTGAAAATCCAATTCGAAAAAATCCTCAGGAAAATGGGAGGATCTTTAACAAGCCACCGGCTTCCAGTCCCCGCCGAGATGGTGGTTCTCACGTAAATTCAATTAAATAAAGTTTTCGGCTTGAAGAGTGTAGAGACATCTAATGTTATTTAAATCAGAACTGTGAGGATTAAACTATCAGGAAAGACTAGGGACTAGTTAAATAAATTGACCCATAATGTAATTGATACAAGACAAAAAAAATTCAGTTACCCCAATACAACTAGGGAAAGGGTTTGTAAGTATAGAATAAGAGATGATAGATATACGGAAAGCGTTTATATATTACGCTGAAGGGATTAGAAAGAAGTCTATGTGGGGGAAACAGGGCGAAAGCTTCAGATCAGAATTGAAGAGAACGAAAAAGCATGTAGAATCTTGGCTGGTAATAGTGCTGTAGCAAACCATAGTTGGGAAAAGGATCGCGATATTGATTCTAAGAAGTGTGAAATAATCTATAAAATTAATAATATTTGAACTGGAAGGTAGAAGGAGGGTTTCTAATTAATACTCTGAATATTTTAACTGGTAACAAAAGCTTTACTTCCGAGGATAGTTTTACAAGAAAAATTATAATAGGTGAATTAATATTAAATCTGAATAAATGACTGAATGTAAGCAGTCCCAATAGGCGCTCTTCTTAGGCTATGAGAGTGTTACGAGGGACAGCATCCAGACGAATATCTTTATTAATAATAACTTCATTTTTCAGAATATCAGGATGACAGAGAAGACAGCTGATCATCATTCAATAGCAGACATTCCATCGGGAACATCGGCAGTCAGGAATAGTGGTGACCTGGTCAGGAGGTCAAAAAGGAGAGTAGCAAAAAGTAGAGAGTATTAGTCGTTGAGATGTAAGTCTGGCCTCATACCATGACAAAGCACTCAGGAGAGTGGGAAAGACTTGGTGGCACTCTTTACACAAGTTTCACAAGTGTGGGTTTTTATCCTGTATGTGAGAAGACATTACCATATTGTATCCATTGCTGTTGTATCATTTGAAAGACCAATCAAAGTTCTATATTTTCCACAACTTGTTTTATTAATATATGTATCCTAATAGTTCAAATGTATTTTAAATTATTTAATAAAATTAATTTGTTAGAGGGTATTTGGTTGTGCATTTGTAAATCCTGTTAACTTGTGAGACAATTTCATCCAAATCGGAAAAGCATTAATGGCAATGACAACGAAAAAGATCAAAACAGAGTTTTCAAATTGGAATTTCCCGCAAAAATTGCAGCGTCATTAAATCCTTAAATCCTCTTTTAATTATATAACTTTTTTTATATATGCTTCATTTAACTGTCTACTATCAAAGTTTTCATAAAAAATACTAGTTGGCAACTTTTCAGTGGTG